GTGGATGAATGGATGGATGGACAGATGAGTAGATAAATGAATGGGTGGGTGTGTGGATAGATGGATGGATGGATGGATGGATGGATAGGTAAGTGGGTAGATGGATGAGTGGATAAATGGATAAAGGATGGATTGATGGAAGGTGGATGGGGGAATGAGTGGGTAGATGGATGGATGGATAAGTGGGTGGGTAGATGGATGGATGAATGGATGGGTGGGTGTGTAGATAGATGGATGGATGGATGGATGGATGGATGGATGAGTAAGTGGGTGGATGGATGGATAAGTGGGTAGATGGGTGAGTGGGTAGATGGATAAATTGATGGATGGATGGAGGGTGGGTGGGTGGGTGAGTGGGTAGATGGATTGGCAGGTAGTAGTGGGTGAGTGGGCAGATAGATGATTGAACATCACAGTTCATCTTAACACAATAGTCATTACTATTGACAGTAACCATTAACTCATGCCTACTATTGTGATCACAGACATAATTGCTGCTAACAATTCTCATAGCTCGTGCTGTCAGAGATGTAATTATCAGTGCCTGTAAGCCACGCCGCAGGTAGCAGGGGGACAGACAGAAAACAGCACCTCAGGTTTAAAAAGTCCCTTGTGGTTTGCAAAACACTTTGGTTCACATATGGTACTTCATTTAAGTCTCATAAGAACCCCTTGAGGGAGATTCACCATGGGAGGCCCCAAAGCATCCTGGCTAGGAGTAGGTCCCTGGAACCAGACGGCCAGGGTTTAAATCCCTCCACCGCTACCAGGCCATGGTGACCTCGGCTAATTTGCTGCACCTTTCTTGGCCTCTGTTTCTGCATATGTGTGGAAATAACAAGACTGTTTCATAAAATGGCTGGATGTATTAATAGGAATCACAATATTTACCGAATGCTTACCACATGCCAGACTGGGTTATAATCATTTTACATAAAACAACTCAGTTAAGCCTCATAACTCTGATGAGCTAGATAGTATTGTTTACCTTCCCCTACTTTTTTTTTTCTGGTTGTATACAAAGTATATTCACACCATTCGTGTATTCATATGTGTACTTAGGGTAATGATATCCATCATTCCACCATCTTTTTAACCTCCTGCTCCTTCCCTTCCCCTCCCACCCCTCTGCCTATCTAGAGTTCGTCTCTTCTTCCCATGCTCTCCCTCCCTACTTCACTATGAATAAGCCTCCTTGTATCAGAGAAAACATTAGGCATTTGGTTTTTTGGGATTGGCTAACTTCACTTAGCATTATCTTCTCCAACTCCATCCATTTACCTGCAAATGCCATTTTATTGCTGAGTAACCCTACATTTTTTTTAGTATTTTTAATTGTACATGGACACAAAACCTTTATTTATTTATTCTTATTTGGTGTTGAGAATCAAACCCAGGGCCTCACACATGCTAGGCAAGCGCTCTACCACTAAGCCACAACCCCAGCACCCTCCCCAGCTTTTTTAAGATAATGAAAGCAAAATTTATTTGCTTCCCGTTCTACTGGGAGGTGAAGAAACTGAATTTGAATCCATATATTGTGGTTTCCAGAGTCCCTACTCTTTATACCTTACAGTAGCATCTCTGAAAGAAATGTCCCTGGAAAGCATTTAGAGTGCCCAACTCCTAACAGATGCTCAATAAATGCTCGCCGCATGCCACTAATTTAGTAGTATTACATGTTAGCATCCCCAAACTGCAGATGCTGAAACTAAGACTCAGGAGAAGCTGGGTGGCTAGCTCAGGATCGCAGACTGATCTCCCTGCTCCATCAGGAAGGTTAGAGTGAGTCTGGGGGTCGCAAATGGTCAACTGGCCTTGCTTTCATCTGGCCCACACTTATTGCATATGTGCTGAGGACTGAGGCCTCCTTGGGCTATAGGTCAGTTCTTTCTGGATTGAAGGTCTAAGTCTCCTCAACTCCCACTTGTCCCTGAGAAAACAAAGGCCATTCTGGAAGGCTTCCAGTCAGTCAGCCTCCAACAAGGGCTTTGCCTTCCCTGAGCATCTCAGACCCATCTCTCCTCTCATCCTGCTGGCCTGAAGGGGCCCTAACCTTGTTCTCTCCCTTCTCTCCTAATGGCTGTGCCCCTGTCTGCCACACTCTATCCTTGTCTTGATCCAGCCATTTATTTTTCCTTACACAGCTTCCTGAACTTACCCATAACTCATTCACACTGGTGGGTAGCGGGGGCGGGGGGGGGGGCGTTGGTGGGGGGTGGTTCTACTTAACACAAAAGCCCCTGCGCAAACTTTGAGTTGGGCCCAAGGCCTCACCCCACCCTGAGAAAGGAGCCCACGTGCTCTGATAGATCTCCCCTTGCAGCAGATTCTAGACTGGGGATGGGGCACGTTAAGGACCCTCAAAGACTTCTAGAAAAAGGAAAGGAGCATCTCACCCAAATCCAAACACCAACACTCTCTCCAGAGAGGCTCAGGGTGCTGGAACAGGCTTCAGTTAAACCTTTCTTATGGGATGGTAGAAAAGAGTCCAAGGCCTCAAATCCAAAAGACCTTTCACTCCCTGTCATTTCCGTGTGACCTTGTGCAAATGATTTCATTCCTATGAACCTCATTGTCTTTGTCTGTAGAATGGGTATCATCACAGTATCCACTTTTCAGGGTCGTAAGGATGCAATGAGATTTTGTTTGCTTGCTTTTCATTCATTCATTCATTCATTCAACAATTATTTATTGGGCACTTTTGAAGAACAAGGTACTTTTCTAGTCAGAGCAGCACATATTATACTGACCACCTGCCCCCTGAGAATCTACCTTCAGTGGATTACACTATATGAACAGACACCTTTTTCTTTTTGTGCTGGGGACCAAACCCAGAGCCTCGCATATCCTAAGCAAGGACTCTATCACTAACTACACCCCAGTCCCCACATGGATGAGGCAACATGCAGAGCACACAGGGCCTGATTCGTTGTACATGTTTAAGAAGTGGGGAGAGTGGAACTGGATTGTTGTTCTTCAGGGATGTACTTGGCCACACCCCACCTCACCTGTTCTGTTAGGGTCAAAGTTCATGAGTTCTGGGAACAGTGTGTACTCCAGTGGCCAAGTTGTGGGAACACTTCTTGCATAATTGGAAGGGGGAGTACCAAGCACACCGTATACTTGATCTCTTCTTGAGGCAGTGGGTCCATATTGTGGTCTACTCCATGAGATACTCATTGGTCCCAAATGAGCAGGGGGGACTGCTTCTTCCTGCATCCCTGAGTAAAAGTGCTCCTCTGTAAGGTGTGGCAGTTTCTTCTAAAGCCTCCGGCACCTCCTGACCCTTGGCTGGGAGGCTGCACACCCTGGATGAAAACAAAGTGGATTTTAACACAGTTCATTATCCCCAGTAAATTGAGAGGCAGCCAGGGGACAGAGGAGAGTGACTATTATTATCCCCATCTTACGGATGAAGGAGCCTGGGCTCCAAAGTGAAGGGACTTGCCCAGGGACCCACACCAGGATGTAGGAGAGCTCAGATTTGAACGGGGACTGCTCCGATTCCAGATCCTGTGTCTTAGCTGCAGCCTACACAGCGCTCCCGCCACCCGGGCACTTCAGAGAGAAAGAAGGTTGCTTCCCAAGGGAGAGGAAGAGCCCGGGACTAGCAGCCAGGAGACCACCCCGCTCTCTGGGCTTCTCCACTTCCTTGTTCTCTATAGCTCAAGACAGTTTCCTTTCACTCTCCAAGCTTCGGGCACCCTCTGGGAAAGTTCAATGACCCAAATGCTCGGCTCTAAAATGTGTGCAAGAGGGAAGGATTGTGAGGAGCGCTGGGGTCTGGAGCTGGGTCAGGGGACTCAGTCCTCTCTTCTTGTCCTGGACCCCTTCCCCCTCTTTATCCTGAGCCCAAGATGGCCAGCTGTCTGTGGCTGGGCGGGGCGGGTCCCTGTGCCAGGCTCAGCCGAGCTCAGCGGGGGCCCTTTGTCACCCAACGCTTGCCGGGGCCTCGGTCGCTGGTGTTGGGTGTCTGGGCAGATTGGATTCTCTCCTGGCAGCCCCACAGATGCTGCACTCCCTCAAGGGTGGCCTGGCGGGCAGGGAGAAGCCGGCGGCCGGGCTCCCTCCTCCTGTGCTCCTGAGAGGGACAATCGGCCACTGTCCAGGGTTCTGATGTGAGGGGGTTCCAGGTGAGGGCTCCGTGACCAGAGCTCATACGAGGGACCAAGCTCGAGGCTCTATTCTGTGCCTCGTGAATATATATATGACAAGCTTCTCTAGCCAGGCCAAGGGCCCTGATTAACGTGGTTGGGGGCTGTGGGCGGAGGTGGGGATCTTTTCTCCTTCCCTGTGCCTATGAAGCCCAAGTGGGGAAGGAATGTGGGGAGAAGAGAATGTACTATGGGCAGAGGTGGCGTGGATGGGAGTGGTCATGTGTGTGTGTCCAGAGGCCTGTGTTCCTAGGGAGAGGGAGGGCATGTCTCAGATTTTGTGGGGCTGGGATGTAGGTAAACAAGCATAGTCAGAGAAAAAAGGAAATGGGGTCTGGTGTGCACATAGCGTTTGGTGAGGCAGGGGTGGGGATATGAAGTTGTATGCCTAGAAGTGTGACAGTGTGTGACAGGGTGGGGCTGTTCCTCAGAGTGGTGTGAATGGGGGGCCTGTGTGTTGGTGCGTGTGTCTGGCAGTGCGGGGGGAGGGGGGCTAGGAATATGCATTTTGGGTGTTGCATGGCAGACGGTGTGGGCACAGGGCTGGTCGGAACTCAGCGTGTTACACAGCGTGGAAAATTGGGGATCAGTGTGTTATGAGGCTCTACCAGGCTGTGTCTTGGGCTGCCCTGTTGTAGGGCATTCGGTGGGTGCTGCTAACCATTCGGGTGTACAGCGTTGCTAGTGGGTTGGGAGTTGTTGAACTAATGCCTGAGTGAGAGTGTATGTGTGTGTGCTCAGCGTTACTTGGGGCTATAAATGCACACCCACAGCCTGGATTTTACTGAGCACCTGTCTCAAGAGGACTCCAGTGCCTGACCCCCTCTCTGCTTGTCCCCACAGGAGCCACCACCCCTGACCATGTAGATGCCAGCTCCAGGTAGCAACATGGACCCCACTGAATGGAGACTCCTGGGTCTACAGCCCTGAGCCCCTCTGGCCCCTGGACCTTGCCCCCCACCTGGGGACACACCTTGGAGCTCACCACTGCTGTCGCCAGCCCTCCTCAGCCACCCCCTCCCCCTGGGACCCGGAGTCGGCCACCTGGAGCTGCAGCTGTCCAGTGAGGGTGTGCTGAGGACAGCCACACACAGCCATCACCCAGAAGCCTCTTGTCCAGTGCTGACCTTTGGGCCCACCCTGAGCAGGGACTTCAGCAAACATGGGTGATATGACCAACAGCGACTTTTACTCCAAAAACCAAAGAAATGAGTCGAGCCATGGGGGTGAGTTTGGGTGCACGATGGAGGAGCTCCGCTCCCTCATGGAGCTGCGGGGCACAGAGGCTGTGGTCAAGATCAAGGAGACCTACGGGGACACTGAAGCCATCTGCCGGCGCCTCAAAACCTCACCTGTGGAAGGTAAGTGTGGGAGACTTGAACCCGGGGCTGCAGGCCCGGTGGCCACTGAGTTGGCACCAGGAACTCTATTCAAAATATTTAGTGGCAGAGATGTGTCAGAAATGGGCTGAAATTGCCAGAATTGCCATTCTAATGTGTTCTAGCTGGGCGTCAGCCACTTTGGAGAGGCCAGGGGAAAGAGCGTCATCATGGGTTAGCGTCTGACCAAACTCCAGCAAGGCCTGAGCTACTGGAAAAGAGCTGGGTTAAGACCGTGTTCTAGGCAGAAGGTTCCATCCCAAAGAGGTGGAACATCACTACTGCAAGGGGTTAGGTTCCTCATCCCGGAAGCCCTAAGGACATCCAGTCTTCAACTGGGGCAGGAGGTTGACTGGAAGGGACCAGGGTGGAGCCAACCTTGCTTACCTGCATCCAGGCCCAGAAGAGACTCCTGCTTCCTCTATTCAGCCACACTGGTTGGATCTGGAAGCCCAGCCCCCAGACCCCTACCCCAGACCCTAGGAATGCCCTCATCTGGGCTTGGGCGGGAACCACAGCATTGCAGGTGCATCCAGTTCCAGCTGCCCAAGGGAACCCTGTGGCCAGGCTGAAGTCACGTCCTTCTCTTGCAAATCCAGATTCCAGTTGGGGATGGCTGTAGATCTTGGGGCAGCTGTGGACTGTGGGACTTCTGGGCAGACAGGGCAGCAAGAAGATGAGCCATAATAGGCAGGGTGACAGATTTCCTTGTTTGTCTTTCCCTGAGGGTGAAAGTGGAGTTTTCTTGCAATTGTCAAAATAAGCAGGCTTGGGATTTCCAGAGAGAGGATTTTAGCTCCTAGGGCTTTTCAGAAGGGAATCAAAGGTCCCAAAGGCATGGATCCAAGGCCCTGCCCGACTCTTCCAGTCCTGTGACTTTGCACAAAAACTGTCCTGAGCTTGGTCTGTTCTCTGTAACATGCAGTCAATGCCTCCTACACTGTGCTTAGTGCAGGCCCAGGTATACAGTAGGTGTTCAGTAAGTATGATTATTCTAGAAGTGGATAACAGTCTCTCCCCCAAATGTAGATCACACCTGAATTGGAAGCATATAGCACCTGGATTGGAAAAATCTGTCCCCCAGTCCCCATGTCTGGTACTGCTGACCACTAATCCTGAACTCGTTTCTGCAGAGGCTGCGTCACGGGCCCTGCTGCTCAGCTGGGGCCCACCAGGGCCAGCCAGACAGTGCAGTGGCCACACATGCCTACACCCTGACACACCCTGCATCTCCTGGATGTCTGTGGTCAGGAGGCAAAACTGAGACCTGTTCTCATATTGACTGCTCTCATTGAGACTGTGCCTGTAGGATGAGCCCAGGCAGAAGTTTAAAAGTGAATCTCCTCCCATGGTGCTGTTTGGTTACAATTCAGTGGGAGTGGAGGGAAGAGGGAAGCATCAATTCTAACTCAAGGCCTGAAGATGGCCGCTTGTGGCCCTAAGATGGGCACAGGTTCTACTGGAGGGTCCTGGGTCCCAGTCTTGTGTGACCACAAATCCCTGGCAGAATGGACCATGCTCATCCCATCATCAGGCGGCACCCTGGCCTGCGAGGAGGCAGAGCTGCCTGAGCGGCCTTTGCCTCTTGATTGGGAACCAGGATATTCCCTTGAGTCAGAAATTCTTGAATATCTCTGGGTCCCAGCTCTGGGGAAGACCTGAAGGAAGCTGGGATCACTGTCCCCAGGAACAGCCACTGCCTGCCACAGATGTGGCTTATACTGTCAGGGGGCTTCCACACCCGCTTGAAACTGGGCCGTGGACTCCAAGTTAAGAAACCCACCCTCCTCTCCCAGGGAATTGGGCAGTACATGGTCAAAGTCCAGCCCTGTGCAGAGCCAGTGCCAGGTGCCTTCTTGGACACCACCCCCACTCCCCTGCCGGGGAGAAGAAGCACCCACAAACCTGAGGGGTGGGCCCTGTCTGCTCTCTATTCACTCAGCACCCGCCTGTGCCTGATATAGGAAGGCTCTGGAAGTACCCGGGAAAAACCTAAGATGCGGCCACCGAGTCCCCAGCCCCTGGGAAGCAGCTCAGGCAGCTGATTGACCAAACAGCAGACCATGGGGACCAAAAGCAGCAGGGACTCCAGGGCTCACAGGGAGGTGAGGCAGGTGGGCAGCAATGGTCAGAGGAGGCTTCCTGGAGGAAGGGGTGTTCATGTTTGGCTGTGGAATAAATAGAAATAAAGCCTATAGTGTGATCTAGAGCAGCCTGTCTTAGAATTCTGCAGCCTTCTGGCGTGCTCAAGAAATTCCTCATTACGTAAAAGCCGATGGAGTCAATTTTGTCATCTGTAAAACTAAAAGAATGACATCTCTAACTTGCTGTGCCTCCTGCCAGCCATGTACCTCTGGGCCTTTGGTCTGACCTCTCTGGACCTTGGTTTCCTGATTTCTTATGAGGACCAGTTGAGATCTCTGAGAGGAAGATCCTTGAGGAGGAAAGTCCATTGTAGGATTAGCTCAAATTCCTGCTGTCTTGGTCTCTAGAAGGATCTCCAGGATATGGCAGGGGTAGAAGTGGGAGAGATCTGGGGAGCAGCAGAAGAGCAGAAGGCTCTAGATCCCAGACATGGATGGACTGGGTTCAAATCCGAGTTCTGCCACTTGTCCACTGTGGGTCTCTGGGCATGTTCATCAAACTCTCTGTGCCTCCGCTTTTATGGGGATAACAATGTGGTGACCTCCTAGGGTTGTGGTGAGGACAAAGTGAGGTGGCTTGGAGTCGTGAAGACATGTCGGTGGTTCTGTGTCAGGATTCAGCCTCAGAGAGTAGGCACCTCCATCTCCCTGTCAATAAGATGTGCTGTGCACGTTGAATGAGACTAAGCCGAGTGCCCAGTGTCTGTGTGCCCGCTATGTCAGTCCTCCTTGTTATCATCCTGGGAGTCATTATTCTGGAAGAAGCAGTCATAGTCCCCAGAAAGGGTGCAATGTGCCTCTTTTGGATCCCTGGTCTTCATGTGGAGCAACACTTTGAATTAGACTAGACTGCTCTGCTTCCCTCATGACGCATGCTCCTGAAAGCAGGTGTTTTTGGTTTTTTTTTATTGGTTACTCAAAACATTACAATGATCTTGATATATCATATTTCATACATTTGATTCAAGTGGGTTATGAATTCTTATTTTTACCACGTGTACAGATTGCAGGATCCCTGTTTTACAAATGAGGATCATGAGGGCCCAGCAGGCTTTGAACACGGCTCCACACAACTCAAGCTGAGCATGTCCACCTGGGAACAGTCCTCTCTGGTGTCCACTATTGAGGCAGCCCTGAGTAGAAGGGGGTCACCAGGGACACTTTTCCTTACCTTGACTCTTATATCACCCTGTTTGAGCCTCCCACCATTTAAAGAAATGCTTAGCCTCCAGTCTCAACTCTGACTTAAAAGCCAGGTAGTCTGGGCTGTGCTGGCTCTGGCCACTCCCGACACCCCGTCACTTATCTGCTGATGTGAGTCCAGAATTGGCCTCCAAGTTACTCATGTTGCAGGAAGCTGCTCAGGCCCTGCATAAATTAGCCGTCCCTTCACATCCAGCTAAATTGAGGCAGAAGCCACATCCCACCCATGGCACTGCCTGTTGCACCAAAGGAATTGGGCACAGCTTCCCCAACCTGGGAGCTGTTGGATTTTCCACCTGGGAGCCTGACTTGGGTGATGCCTGTTGGGTAACCCTGGCCCGCTCTGCCCTATCTGCGCACCTTTCCTTCCTCATCTGCTATGGTTCTGATTGATGTCTTTCCCTTTTCACCTTCTGTTCCCTTTCCTTCCACACTCTTCCAGCCTGGGGCAGTAAAGTCGCAGTCTTGAGGGGCTTCTCTCTGAGGGGCACTGAGAGAGTAAAATCCAAGCTCTCTGGGCCCCAGCTGACATCTCTGTGAAACGGGGATGATAACAGTCCCTGCCCAGGCGACCAACAAGGCGTGTTTATAAACCTTGTTCCTATTACACCCAAACATTTCTTTGAAAAACAAAATGCCTGGGTCCCACCCCCATGAAAGAGGCCATCAGACAGTGTTCAGTGCAGGGTCACGGTGCCCTCAGTGGCACAAACATGGGTGGCCGGTTTGGGGGCCAGTCCCCAGAACCTACTTCAGTGCCCAGGGGCATAAGAAGGATTCATAGAAAGAAGGAAGGAAGGAAAAGAGAAAAAAAGGAAGACCGGGTGTCCTGGCATGTCTAGCTGCCCAGGACGGAAGCTGCAGGCCAGAGACAGGACACAGGACACCCAGTGTCACCCACGGGACAGTTGGCTTCAGTTCCCCAGGCCCCGTGTGGTGCAGCCCTGAGCCACACAGCTGGGTGGCCCTCAGCCTTCACTTCCTAAACTTGCACCTTGGGCTGTCAGAAGGGATGGCTCAGACAGGGCCCTGTCAGGTGTCCACCACTCTGTTTCCCGCTGGGGATGATCAAAGGGTCAAAGAAGACAGGGCGGTGAGGGGTGGGTGGGAACTGGATACTGCCGTGTGTTGCGAAACGGAACCTCTGGTTAATTTTGCATGAATCCCACAGCTGCCCAGGTGAGGGGGGAGAGAGAAAGGGGTTCGGCCTGGGCAGGAGGCAGAGCACAGACGGTGGCTGCTTCGTGTCACATACGCTATTAAAGGAGAATGCCCCTTAGGCCGGCAGCACCCCATCATCCACGTACCCTGGCCAGCTGGGCACCAGGGAGGCTGTGGGGCAGTGAGCCAGGACCTCTGTGTGCACAGTTCTCCATGTTTTCTGTCTCCCCATGGACCACTGGGCCCCTGCAGGGTCAGTGGGGAAACTAGCTCTCGGCTCAGCAGGTCCTGCATCTCAGCTGAGATACAGCCTCTAGGTAGGGAAAGGGGAGGACTCCTCCCCACTCCCTGGGGGCTCCATATAAAGTGGCCCAGGCTCCTTTCTAAGGCTTTGAACTCTGTCAGATGTAAGGCCTGGGGGGAAAATGATTCTCCCATGTATTTCAGAGGCTGAGCAAACCTAGCCGCCTTCTC